CACCAAATTTTTAAACCTTAATTGAGTATTTCTTGAACGGACATAACTACCTGCAGAACCGTTTTTCAAAGGAAATTCATGGTAACGTGAGGTGAATTTAGCCAGTAACTATCTTAAAACATTAACAAACAGTGTCAGATAACTAATACTTACTTACTTGCTTATTTACGCCTGTAACTCCTCGTGGAGGAGCATAGACCGCCCACCAGCATTCTTCATACAGCCCTGTCCTGGACTATTCGTTCAAGCTCTTTCCAGTTGTTATTCATGCTTTTCATATCTGATTCTATTCTATTCTTTGTCCTTCCCTTTTTTCCACTTCCCTTCACGATTCCAAGTTAGGACTTGCCTCATGATGCAACTTGGTGATTTGTGTAATGTATATTCTATTCATTTCTATAATCTTTTTTTAATTTCCTCTTCATCTGGAATCTGGTTTTCTCTCTCCCACAGTAGGCTGTTGTTGATGGTATACGGCCAATGGATGTTGAGTATCTTGCGCAGACAAGATAACTAATAAAAGTTAATAAAAAATATGTCATTATGATTTCTTTTCAGTACTTTTTTCTCACTAAAGTTAATGTTTCTATTTAGCTTTTGTGTTGATATCCAATTTCTTTAGATATATATTCAATAAACTAAGTAACAATGCATACTTTGTTGTTGTTTAGTCAGTATTTAATTCATAAGTCTACAAATATGTATTTTATTATAGAACAGACAACAGCTTATATATCTGCATTTATGCATAATAATAGTTTTTTTTTAATCAAGAACCAACAGTTACAAATATCGAAATAAGGGATACAAGATGGATTGTTACCCATTCATTCCTCGATACTTCTTGGTATTGATTAAGTGAAAATTTTGAAAATTTGAATTTTATAAGATTATGAATCTATTGAAGTTTGACATTAACATTGTTGGATATCGGTTCAATAGTTTAGAGGTTAAGTATTCACGTATGAGTCCAAAAGTCCTGAGTTCTAGTCCCATATGTGGAATCGTGAACAAGTACTTCTTAAGAGTCTCATAGTAGAATAGAACAACCATCTAATACTTCAATGTTGAACTGGCTTAGATCAGAATTCATAAATTCAACTATTGAAAAAATTATTACAATCTTCACAAATCCCCATTCTGATAAATAAAGTGAAAATTAGTATCAAAAGTGGTTTTGTGGATATTATAGTAATTCTAATGGTTGATATCACGAGTCAGTTGAAGTTAGGCCACCATGGACAACCTGGAAGCACTGGACAGTTTTTTCGTCCTATTGTGTTACTCCTCAACAGTGTGTATCCACGATCTCGTCTCACGAGATTCGAACACAGGAGCCATCGATCTTGTGTGTGAACACTTAAACTGTAGACTACTGAACTGGCCAGCATCCAATTGTGTTAATGTCTAACTTCAATCAATCCATCATTGTCTTCAATGTGTTACTATCTCAACTGACTCATGATTTCAACCTGTGAAATTTCTAAAACTCTCCACAAAACACCTTCTGATAATAATCACTGCTCACTAGTGACTGACTTCAGGAAAAACTCCTGGAGTTCTAGTGAGAAGCCGTTACCAGTGGAGTTCAACCGGTCTGTTGTGAGATAACAACTCACTGAAGACAATGGTGGCGCAACTTCGTGGATTGGTTGAAGTTAGACATTAACACCGTTGGATGCCGGTTCAGTGGTCTAGTGGTTAAGTGCTCGCGCGCGAAGTCAGTAGGTCCTGGGTTCGAGCCCCGCGTGGTGCGGGATCGTGGATGCGCACTGCTGAGGAGTCCCATACCAGGACGAAACGGTCGTCCAGTGCTTCCAGGTTTTCAATGATGGTCTAGCTTCAACTGACTCATGATTTCAACCTGTGAAATTTCTAAAACTCTCCACAAAACCCATTCTGATAATTATCATTCAGATATAAAATTAGAAAATGACCTTTTAATTACATTTTCAATTAATTTAATTTTCATTAATTATTTCAACCTTCTATTAATTACTTAGTTTAACATTTATTATAATTATTTATATACATCAATGAATGTAGAATTAATAACGATGATAAACTGAATGAAAAGAAATATTTCCTTGTTCTGTTTATTTCTCCCCCTTTTCTTTTTTTCTTTTTTTTTTGTTGTTGTTTGTTTCGTTTTAACATTTAACAAAATGAAACAGATGAAATAATAACTGACATTATTAATTGTACATTTCAGCAATAAATCATTGTTATAATTAAGAATGAATTTAATTTAAATGGATAGTTTTTATAAAGTATTCGCATTTAAGCAAAGATAGATAGTGGCTAGTAATGGAATGAAGGATATGTGTGTTTCATCTTATTTTGGATTCGTCAACTGGACGTATCTGCATCATGGAATTGATGTTCATTCTGGGACTCCAATTCAGTACCATTCACTTCAAACGCTATTGTGGTATCCACTTAGTTATTGAGTCCCAATAGCCACTTGCTTGTTTGTGCATTAGGGTAATGTTGAAATTCACTTGGTATCGTTTACTTAAATCTTCTCATTGATGTTTAGGGCTGCGAATGATCAGTCTCTTATTGGCATATATGCATCCTGTTCGGATTACCTTGATATTGCCTTCATTCATAAGCATTCTAAACAAAGATGGCAAGTGGTAAACAGTGGGATCCAGGACGCGCGTTTCGTTTTATTTGGGATTCGTCATGTGAATGTACCTGCATCCTTTAGTTCATGTTCGCTCTAGGACTCATACCCAATACTGTTCGCTTCAAACGTCATCACGTTATCCACTTAGCTACTGAGTCTTGATTGCCACTTGCTTGTAAAATGAGGTGAACTTAGCCGATATTTAGCTGAAAATCTAATGAAACTATACTTTGTTGACGAATTAATCAGATTTGTAATAAAAACTGTTAGGTACAAACACAGAGTTTAAAATAATTTTGCTAACTAATGATTAAGTAATGAATAATTTTCATAAGAAATCACTAATTAATACTTTAGATTCATTTTATTGATGAGGACAAGTATTTTCAGTTAGGACAGTATTGGTAATACTAAATATGGAAGTAAAGATATGTAAAATGCTTATTCAATTTAGTGAAAACTTTACTGAGAATTTCATTAAATGAGAACAGGGTTAATTTACATTGTTCAAAGCTAACTCCCTGGGAAACTACCATATATATTTTCGTTTAAATTGCTACTAACTGTGCTGTTAGATGAACCTCCGCCTTCCTTCCTTACTTACTTCTGTTACCCCTCGTCGACGAGCATATGCCGACTATCAGCATTCTCCAACCAACTCTATCCTGGAAAATTGTTTACACTTGTTTTCAGTCGCTATTCATCCTTTTCATATCTGCTACCAATTCCCGGTGTAGCGTGTTTTTTGGCCTTTCTCTTTTTCGTTTTCCTTTGGGATTCCAAGTTGGAGCTTGATTCGTGATACTGTTTGATGATATCCTCAATGTGTTTCCTATTCATCTCTAACGTCTTTTCTTAATTTCCTTTTTAGTAGGAAGCTGCGTTGTTCTCTCCCATGATAGGATCTTGCTCATGGCATCCGACCAATGGATATTGGGTGTCTTGCGTAGACAATTGTTTATAAGTACTTGTACCTTCTTGGTGATGATTGTAGTAGTTCTCCAAGCTTCAGCTCCGTATATTAGGACTGTCTTGACATTCGTATTGGAAAGCCAACACCTCGACCGGAAATCGAACCCGGGCCTTCCATGTGACAGACGGAGATAGTCACCACCACACAATCGAGAATGAGTCCCCGACTATGTGATTTATCCTTATCGGATGACAGAAAAGATTTAGTTAATTACAGAAGCTTTAATAGAGAAACCAAATGTCATTAATTGTAATTGTTTATTGTAAAAAGAGATGAACATAAAAATCCTTTTAAGTTGATCGATGAGAATGTGAGCAATACATATATTCATAAAAACGAAGAAATTTTTAGATAAAACCATGGAATCCATCCAAATCAACTAAGAATTCTCTCTGTCTTAAAATATCTCTATAAGCCTATCCAAACAGACCACCTATACAATAGTGTACAAGCATTTTCAATCAGTGATGTATGATAAACAGAAATGAAATCCAAACGTCGTGTTTCGTTCTATTAGAATGAATGTATCCACATCTTAGAGTTTCTTGAAATTATTGAAATTCTTATTACTCATCATCATTCTCAAAGAAATAATCATTGAGTTGTTTACAATACTATTTTATCATTTAATAGTAAGCATGTTTATATAAGATGGTGGTTGGAAGTAGTCAACAAGAAACCCTGAACCTAAGTTTCGTGCTACTTGTCACTCATCAGCAAGGTGTACCTGTAATCTTGAGGGAATTGATGCTCCCTGATGGATTCGATCCCGCGTTACTCAGCTTCACAATCAGAGACATTATCACTGAGCTATCCGAGACGCTACTGACCTCTTGACAAGTGCCAAATAGCACGAAATATATGTCCAGGGTTTTCTGTTGACTACCCCCAACCACCATCACATCTCAACATAGTGCACTCAATGTCAAGTCACTTAGACTAGTGGCCACATTGCAACTTGGTCGATAGGATTCGATCTGCACTGTTTATTATTTATTTATTTATTTATTTAAACACATAAACATTGGTACAAGAAGGCACTAAATTTATGTGAGGGCTGGAATACTGCCCGGGTTCTCAAACCAAAGCAGGTAGTTTTCTTAGAAGACCACACCTGGAGCCTTCGATCTAAAGGTCTGATCCATAAGGCAATGCAGCAACGTCAGGAGATGCAGTCCCATGATAGCCGGTGACCAATAATTGGTTCATACGCCATTTGTTCTTTCAGGTTACTGGAACCCATATGCACCACCATTGGTTTGGAATCAGGGTTTTCCAACTCTTCTAGGTGAACTCTTCATGTTCATATATAACATTGATCACCACCTAGTGATCAATCAATTATAACTAAATATATTTTTCAATCATTATTATTTATTTTATTTTTATTTTCAGAAATGACTAATCCACCTCAAACTAATTCCAATTCAATGTATATGAATAATAAAATTCAAAAAATTAACAATGATCTTACACCATGTTCACAAATTCTTCATAATTCTAATATCATTATAGATGATACTGTGAATAACAATGATAGTAACCATAGCAACAACAACAACAAAATAATGATAATAATAATAATAATAACTATGGTCATTTTCAACAATCTACAAGTCCAAATGAATTAGATAAAACTACAATAATGAATGAAATATCATGTGATAATTATGAAAATAGAACAAATTTAATTGTGAATTATTTACCGCAAACAATGTCACAAGAAGAAATGAGAATATTATTTTCAAAAATTGGAAAATTAGCCAGTTGTAAATTAATACGTGATAAATTAACAGGTAATAATTACAAACAACAAAAAAAAAAGAAAGAACTTTTTTTTCTAAGAAATTCTGTAATCATTTTCCGTTTGTTCCCCTGCTAAACGCGGTTGAGCTGTACTGTTTGGGTTGTCACGTGAAAGACCGGATGATGTCTGGTTCTCCTGAAAACCAATGTAAAATTACCTTGGCCCACAAGGGTATATTATATAACTAACTTATATAACTTGTTTGTTTTTGACGAGACTATAATTTATGAATGTTATAACTTGTGAACCTGTGTGCCCTGTTTATTGTAATAATGTAACAATGCCGCGAAGTAGGCAGCAGTGAATTATCGATCGGGCCAATGACGCATAAAACACGTACGAGTAATCTACAGTCTTGATTGGTCTTGTTTTGTGTCTAGCACAGCCAGTTAAATCCAGAACACAAATCGCAACCTCTGCAATATGAATCATTCATTTCAAATATACTGGGTTTATATATCAACCAGATAGACCACATCGTACCAATAAAATAGGAAACAACATCTGTACAAGATCTGGCCAAATGTGGCTGTGAATGAGGGAGGTAGTAATTAATAGACAGAGCATAATTCAAGAATAGTGAATCGTATAATAATAGTTCATAGGTCAAAATAAAGCTCATAATAAGAGGCACTGCTGAGGAGTCCCATACCAGGACGAAACGGCCGTCCAGTGCTTCCAGGTTTTCAATGGTGGTCTAGCTTCAACTGACTCATGATTTCAAAAACTGTGAAAATTCTAAAATTCTCCACAAAACCCATTCTGATAATAATAATCAACTGCTCACTAGTGACTGACTTCAGGAAAAACTCCTGAAGTTCTAGTGAGAAGCCGTTACCAGTGGAATTCAACCGGTCTGTTGTGAGATATCAACTCACTGAAGACAATGGTGTACGGTGGCGCAACTTCGTGGATTGGTTAAAGTTAGACATTAACACCGTTGGATGCCGGATCAGTGGTCTAGTGGTTAAGTGCTCGCGCGCGAAGCCAGTAGGTCCTGGGTTCGGGCCCCGCGTGGTGCGGGGTCGTGGATGCGCACTGCTGAGGAGTCCCATACCAGGACGAAACGGCCGTCCAGTGCTTCCAGGTTTTCAATGATGGTCTAGCTTCAACTGACTCATGATTTCAAAAACTGTGAAAATAAGAACAGTTTAGTTATTTAACAATCATACGATAAAAATATACGCATATTATTGGTTCATAAATGGATCTCAAAAGTAACCATTCAGTATGCTTATCGGGACCTAAAAATGGATGACCTTTGAGCGATACTGAAGTGGTTTTGAAAATGTTTACCTATTCACTGTGGTTAAAAATTAATGTGAGGAATTAGGATTTATAATTGAACGTTAGGCTTAAAGATTAGATTTAGTGTCTCTATGATGAACTGACATCAGTTATAATGTCAAAATGATATTTAACAAAATGAATGAATTTCGCGCCTAGATCTGTCATCTATAAATCATAGTCTCGCCTGTGTTTTTTTTCTTCTGATCATTGGTCACTGACAACTTATGTTACTGTCCTCTTTTTTTTCACTAGTTACTTTAAATAAACAGAAGATGGGTTTCAATTCTTTTCGATGCGATCAATAGAATATAAATATATAAATTTTTTGGTGCCATTAAAGAAAATGTTTTCGAACTGAGCAATATGTTTAGAAAAAATAAACATGTAAACCTTAAATAGTTGAATGTATTAGATATAGCCTAACTAGTTTTATCACTTGTGATTTAAGACAATAGTTAGGCAATTTGAATAGGATGTACATATGCCAATAAGAAACTGATCAATTGCAGTCCTAAACATCAATGAGAAGATTAAAGTAAACAATACCAAGTGAATTTCAACTTCACCCCATTATACAGGCTAGTGGCTATTAGGACTCAATAAATAAGTGGATAACACGATGGTATTTGAAGTGAACAATGCTGAATTGGAGTCCCAGAATGAACATCAACTCTGAAATGCAGTTACGCTCATCTGATGAGTCCCAAATAGGACGAAACGTGCGTCAAACTGGGTTTTATTACTATCCACTTCCTATCTTTGCTTAGAATCCTAGAAATTTTATTTTCAATTATTTGATTTACAGTTTTTCAATATTTGAAAATGATAATGAATTCTCATCAATTTTTTTTTCTTTCAAAAATTTAACTTTAGGTCAAAGTTTGGGTTATGGATTTGTGAATTATGTAGATGCTTCCGATGCTGAACGAGCAATACGTGCACTTAACAAAATGAGACTACAAAATAAAACAATCAAGGTAAGTTCAATATTAATCCCTATTATGTTAACTTAACCTATACATATAACTGAAATATCAACATTCTAACAATAAAATCAACGTATGATAATTGTAAATATCAGGGTATAATGACAGCTAGAAATAGTTCAATCAGTCAGTTGATGATATAAAAACTAATCATTCACGAGATCAAAGGTCTCAAGTTCAATCTTCAATGGTGGCATCAGTGACCAGTACTGCTGAGGAGTCCCATACTAGGATGAAACAGTTTTTTAGTATTTTCTGGTTCTCAACAATCATTTAACAAAGATTTGCCATCCAATATTTCTTTCTAAAAATGATTCTATTTGTGAACATTATCTCTTTATAATCTTAATAAGTGCAATCCACATAGTACTGTTATTAATCTTTAGACATATGGATACTAAAAAGTAATCAATCATTTTTCTCCATCCAAGTATACCTGAAGAAGATGTTTATAAATAATACATCTGCTATTGCAATAAAACACATTAGATGAGAATAATCCGTGTCGAGTAAACACAGATATCTACCTCAGAACAATAGAAGATGGTTGCGCAATTTCGTGAACTGGTTAAAGTTAGACATTAACACCGTTTGGATACCAGCTGGCTCAGTGGTCTAGAGTTTAATCATTCTCTCGTGAGACTGAGAGCCCTGGGTTCGAATCTCACGGGACGGAATCGTGGATATGCACTACTGAGAAGTCCCACAATAGGACGAAACAGCTGTTCAGTGCTTCCAAGTTTTCAATAGTGATCCAACATGAATCAGTTTATGATCTTAACAATCTTCACAACCCTATATTGATAATAATCAAATCACTTATTTCCAAATCTTACTAAAGTTATCTTTTTATCGAATAGTTAAGTTAATCATATTCAAACTATTAACCTTCTATTTATATATATTTTATTATAAACAATTATTGTTTATTATGATACTTGAACTTTATCAGGCTAATAAATCATACTTATCTATCTGTATACACTATGATAGACTAACTCAATTATCCCCTTGTATATCAATCATATACTATTCATATTATATTTGATTTAATAATAACCATCAATAGTATAATAATAATGCATATTATATTACTTATAGATGATTCACCTTGAATAATGATAAACTGTTTAACTAATAGTATTAAATCATACAAGTTAACCTTTAGTAATTCTTTCATTATCTGTTCCAATACTTGATTTGATTCAATTAAGAGTTATGATTGTTAAATAGTAAAAATGGGATGAATAAAATTATTCAGTAACAATATCATTCACCTTAAATAGTTTAAAAATAGTGTGATGTGTGTGACTTATATTGACATAAGTAGTATATGATGTTAGTCGTAAACAGAAGATCTGACAGCAGGGAGACGAGAGGATCGAACAGTAAAGAATGGAAACAGAATGCAATTTGTATGGAAATGCAAGAACAATGAAGTCTGAGTCATTTTGAGACAATTGGTGGACATTTTGTAAATTAAGCATTTACTTTATGATTGTTAGATTTTATTAACAAGTCCTGTAATTTTGCGTTGATTACACTTGACTGTCCCCACTGGTGTTCTGCTCACTACAATAGAAAGTAAATATTCAAAGTTACAGTTATCCTTTATTAATCATACTATGGACAAATTGTTACCATTGAAAACCTGAAAGCATTAAATGACCATTTTATTCTAGTATGGAATTTTCGATCAATACGCATTCATGATCCCGCATTTGAGACTCGAACTCAAAATATTTGGTTTCTTTTAAGGACTCGTATACTTTGATGAAGAGATCATTTAGTGTTACTAGTTTATCAATGGTGATCTATTTTAGATCGACTCGAGAATTGGACTGTGGAAATACTTTTTTAACATCATAAAAATGATTGTTGATTTGATTAAAACTACCGTTTTACACTAAGCATAAATAAACAGCTTATTTATTAATGATTAACAACTCTTTTTATTGAAGATTGATTTCATGCTAAGTTCGGTGAGACCATAATTTATGGACGATCTTTGAACGACACTAAAGTGATCTTGAGAATGTCCACATACTAGCTAGAACTAAATGAGGGTTATAAACCATGGTGGACAACTAGAATTAAGATTTATTATTTATGGTTAAAGGTTAGGAATTAGATTTCGGTTTTTCATCACAAACTGACATCAGCTATAATGCCAAAAACGATTTTTAACCAAATAGATAAATGAATTTCGCGATAAAATCCAAGATTTTTTAAATCTTATATCTAATTGGTTCATCCATAAATTATAGTCTCACCGTAAGTTCTAAAGGTTATCAAACTATAAGTCAGTTAGTCAGTCAGTAACAACGTAGAACTTCGTACGTACGTACATCAGTTCGGGTCGCCACGCGACATTAGCACAAAAATATAATTTTCCATTCAAATCCCATATTGGTAAAGATAGTAAAAGTATAAGCGGTAATTGAAAACATTAGGGTTTGAAGATGTTAGTCAAGGAGTATAATCCAGTGAAATAAATTTGGAAAAAGGAAAAAAGGAACATGAATAATTCAGAGGATTAGAGTTTGGGAGAACACAAAGAATAGATGTACCTGCGCCATTGCAAACGATTTTGAGCCATGTCATTCAAGGTCTCTAACCATCGGTTGCTATCGTCTCGCGGATCCCAACCAGATAGTCTACACCTACCAACATGGCTCAGTCCACTTGTCAGTGACTTCATGGATTTGTTCCATGTTTTGGTCTGGCTGCTCTAGCTTTCTCTTCCAACCTACTCCTACGCTATAAAACATCGCACATCGAGGCAGTCGGTGGTTGGACATGCGTAACACGTGTCCCAGCTATCTCAACTGATGAAGTTTCACTACTTTATCAATCGATTTGCCATCCTTACCTAGTATCCGTTTCCTAACAACTGAATTACTTACTCGGTGGTCTCAAGATGTACGATCAATGCTTCGAAGACACCTCTGATAGAATACTAGTAACCTACGAATATCTTCTACTCTTACCGGCCATGTTTCATTGCCATAAAGTAGGACGGAACGAACTGCTGCGTGAAAAACTAGTCCTTTGGTTGGTAGACGGATATCTCGCCTACGCCATAAATGGCGCAAGCAAGCAAAAGCTAGTCGAGCTGTCTATATCCGCGCTGAGATTTCGCTACACTATATTGTTATTTACATTTGAAAAAGTTACATAAAAATTCCGCACTCGATTAATTTTTCAGTAGAAGGAATTATTATCAATTATGAAATAATTCTATCTATTGACAGCTATGACCTTTTTGTTTTATATGCCAATCCACCAACATTATCAATATTGTAGTCATGACTCTGGTTACTATTACAACAGTTACTAATCTAATGAATAATATGCATCTATAACCAATACAACTAGATAGGATTTCTTTTCTTCTCCATATGTATGAACTAATCACTTAATACAATCGACTTATATTGTTTGCCATTTTCTTTTTACTATAAATGATTATCATTAGTTTAGGCCAAAATAAGTCTAAAGATGGATTATAATCACTGAATTAGAGGTGAAATTGGATAAAGGATACAGAATAAACGAAAGCCATATTAAATGACATATATGTGCGATTGATCAATTTTCCTTGATTGAAATATAATTTTTAAATTGAGATCCTGAACCGATTGATGTTAGACAACCTCTATACTGATAATTACCATGTGCTCACAAGTGATTAGCTTCGTGAGGGGATTTTCGGAGTTGCAGTGTGAAGACGTGACCAGTGGAGCTAATCTGTGTCGTGTAGGGACAGTTATCTACCACGGTACAGTGGAAGATGGTCACTCAATTTTGTGGATTGGTTGAGGTTAGACATTAACACCATTGGATGCTGGCCGGCTCGGTGGTCTAGTGGTTAAGCATTCGCGCACAAGACTGAAGGTCCTGGGTTCGAATCCCACGAGTGGGATCGTGGATGCATGCTGCTGAGGAGTACCGCAACGGGACGAAACGGCCGTCCAATGCTTTCAGGTTTTCACTGGTGATCTAACATCAATCGGTTCATGATCTCAATCTAAAACTTAATAATCTCCACAACCTCTATACACAAATATAAATGAAAATATATATTATAATGATTTTGATAGAGTGTTGTTCTCTCAGCTAGATGGTTTGGTCGTTTTTCTGAACAACATCATCAGCACAAACTGCAGATAGAATTTAGTTGATTTATTCAAGAAAAAAAGCAGAATGATAATTTATAAACATCTTAATGTTATTTAAGTATCTATTAGAAAATATGAACGTGGCTAACAGTGGGATGGTGAATGCGTGTTTCATCTTATTTGAGACTCGTCAATTGGATGTACTTGCATCATATAGTTGGTGTTCACCTTGGGATTCTAACACAGTACTGTTCGCATCAAATGCCATTACATTATCTACTTAGAGACTGATCAATTACAGTCCTAAACATCAATTACAAAATGAATCAGAACTTTACCTCATTACACAAGCTGGTGGCTATTAGGACTAAGTAGATAAATGAATAGCGTGATGGTGTTTGAAATGAACGGTACTAGGTTCGAGTCTCAGAGACAAAATTGACTCTTGGATATAGGTGTATCCAGTTGACGAATCTCAAATAGGACGAAACAGGCATGTCTTGGATTCCACTACTAACCACCAACCATCTTTGCCTAGTAAATATAATCATCGAAATATTTATAACTCAGGTAGCTTAAACTAATTAACAGTTGCTCAGTGTTAAATACTCTTTAAATAAACAAATTGTTTTTCTTGGAATTTTCAGTGTTAACTAAAGTCATTGTTAACAGACTAGTTTTGAAATCTAAAAAAAATGGGAATGATATTAGTACGGAAAGATTATTTTTGAGATCTTATTTTTAGAATGAGAAGGGGTTTTGTGGAGATTGTAATAATTTCAATAGTTGAGATTATGAGATAATCGAAGCTAGAACAATATAGAGAACCTGGAAGCACTGGACGTCCATTTCGTCCTAATGTGGGACTCC